AGCCAGTCTCTGCATTATAGCATTCTTATCCAGCAACAGATATTCATGTCCATAAACAGTTGTTTCGAAGGGCAGATTTTCAGACGCATTGTTGGAAAAATTAATGGGGTGGGGAAAAGGATGAAAAGATAAAGACTTCAAAAGTTAACACTGAAACTAATCTGCTGGCTATTGATTTTGTATAATTTCTTTTAAACTTTCCTTCCCCATCTTTTTTATTTCTCCTTTAAATTTTCTCAACAGGCTGAATATCCTATAGCGATGGGCAGGGTGGGGGCGGGGGCGATAAAATCTTTCCCATATCTCCCCTTTGATGTACATACAATTCTTCTACCTCACCCCAGTCATCTGAGGTATGTGAACCAAACATGTCTTGCTTTATCCCCTCTCTATTCAAAATCACATTATAATCCCTACTGGGCCTTGGATACAGTTCTGCTCATGGCCCTTTTATTTTGCTGTTTGCACTGAAGAAAAGCTGGTTTAAGGTTGGTTTAGGGACAGTCGATATATTGTTAACCACCCAGAGTAATGCATGTCTCTAAGTCAAGCAGTATAAGAAATGGCTGAAATAAATAAATAGTGAATACAGTGGTGCCTCGCTAGACAGTTACCCCATATGACAGTTTTTCCGGTAGACATTGACTTTTTGCGATCGCTATAGTGATTCGCAAAACAGTGATTCCTATGGGGGAATTTCGCTGGACAATGTTTGGTCCCTGCTTCACAAACCGTTTTCGCTAGACAACGATTTTGACAGCTCCCTCCGCGCTCACAAAACAGGTGTTTTCGGGAGCTAAGCTTCGCAAGACAGTGATTTAAACAGCTGATCGGCAGTTCGCAAAGCGGCTTTCCTATGGCCGATCTTCGCTAGACAATGACAATTCTTCCCCATTGGAACACATTAAACAGGTTTCAATGCATTCCAATGGGGAAACGCTTTTTGCTAGACAATGATTTCGCTAAACAGCGATTTCAGTGGAACGGATTACCATCGTCTAGTGATGCACCACTGTAAATGAAAATGCACGGGGGTGGCAATGGTCAACCACTCCTTATATGTCTCACATATTTCACAAATCCTATTAGGGTGGCCATAAATTGGTGTTATGTTTATGCCTTCCAGATGTTGATGCCATGCATCAAAGCCTCAGTTCCCCCAGCTTAGTTAGAGGTCTTGTTTTGGCCCGAAGGTACAAAACAAATGAGTTGAACTTCCAAACTTGTTGGATCAATTGATTCTTGACGTTCCCCAATTACTGCATTGTTGTCTTGTTCCGTGGTCTCTCACTGCTAGCCGAAACACAATATTGACTATCGAGGAGCGACTTGGCCTTCTTTCCACCAATCATCCCCCACCCCTCATAGTTAGACAAAATAGGCTACACTGCTTCCTTAAAGTTAACGTCCTTTATTTCTAACTTTGGAAACAACTTTTCAGTAACTAGCCAGGAATCCTCTTGCTTCAAAGGTACTTCTCTCTCTGCAACATCAGTAACATGTCCTGTTTACTCTTTAAGGCAAAGGAGACTCAATCTTCAGCTCAGCCCATCCTGGCAGCTAAAATGGTGTGGATATAACTCTCCGTCTATCTAGGCCTTGTGAGGGTAATAAATCCAACCTCCAGGATTCTTTTTACTCCCGGGGCTTTGTGCGGTTTTGGCCGGAACGGACTCATCCCAAGATATGTCGCAGGGCAGGTATGGCATCGTCAATTCTCCTGATTTTGAGCGTCTCTAGCCAGTATCCTTTGTCCCCCTTTCTCTGTTCTCTTTTGCCTCCCCCCGCAGGGTGGCTTTCTAATGCCATTCTTGCTCAGCTACTTCCTTAGGTAATCGTAGTTCCACCCATTCACCCATCCAAGAGTCTTCTTTTACAATGTACGTCCAACCCTCTGGTAGTTCTTCCTCAACCCCCTCCAACTGCTCTGAGCTGTAGCTTCTCCTCCTCCTGCATATTGGATGTTCTCTTTTTATCCTTCCCCTTTCCTTCGCTCTCACTGCCTCCTCCCTTTGCTCGCTTCCTGGGCTTTTTCTTCTCTCCTCCCTACCGATCACATTCTTTCGCATATTTGACCGTTTGAGGGGCAGGTTCTTCCAATCCCATCATCTTTGGCAGATAATAGGACAGCACGCTGACAAGGAAGTCTTCCTTCTTCTCCTTCTGCTCACCACATGTTCTAATTACCTCAATTCATTTTGAAACTGTATGTTCCTGGACCATTTCTTGGGCAAAAACATGCCCTCAGACAGACTATTTAAATGGCTTAATAATTCTTGCCCTATAGCAAGATTTTGTACACATAGCCAGGTATTTGCCATCTTTCCTGTGTGGAGTTCAATGCATGGCACATTGCTCCTCGATTCCTCATCTCATAATCCCAACAACCACAGGAATTAGGTCAGGACTTGGGAAAGAAGGAAGCTAACTCAAGGTTACCCATTGAGTTTTATGTATTACATACACTGTCCCCATCTCAGCCAAATGCTACATAAGCATGACAGTATTTTGTGCATACTAAAAACTTTGTGGGATATATATTAGTATCTACATTCTGCTAGCAGTCTTGGCTTTCATTGTCCCTGGGGTCAGAATCTCTGATTACTAGGTGCTTCCTACCCCATATGGGATCCCTCCCTTTGTGCAAGGAAACATCAGACTACCATATTTTTCCATGTATAAAATGCCCCCATGTATAAGGCGCCCCCCCACTTTTCTAATCCAAATTTAAGAAATTTAAGTGGGGCTTAGCAAGTGAAGGGGAAAAGGGATCAAAGCGCTGCAGGATCGCTTTGATCCCTGCTTCCCACTCCACTTGTTTTTGTTCTCTTCTCAGCTTACTTCCGTGTATAAGACGACCCTCAATTTTTAGTCTAAAGATTTTAGACAAAAGTATAGTCTTATACACAGAAAAATACGGTTCTTGTCAGATAGATGAGTACCACTGAAAGTTTTTTTTTATAAACATATATGTGTGTGTGTAATTTTTAAGATAATGATTAGATGGGAATGAAGTTTAAACCTTCCCCACTCCTGTGTGGGTTCTAGTTTCAAATACAACCATGCATGCTTGCACTACAGCTGTAAAAAAAAAAAGACTGTTTATCCATTAGTAATCAGGCCAGCGGGTTACGTAGATCAACATTCCCCCAGCATCCTCGTTATCGTCAATATCAGAAATACTATAAATACTTCAACTAATATCTCATTTGTTATATTTCCTGTTCCTAAAATCCTGAACCTGACTTGAACATTGAGGCACTTGCAACACAATCAATTTATGATGAGTAATGTTTATTGTATCCTAATGGGGACAAAGGAGAAATTCCAGAGATTAAAATTAACGGCTTTAAGATTCTCCAAGTTTCTTGGAACTGCAGTCTAAGAACACCAAGGTTGGGAACCACTGTTCTAGGGTATTAGCTCTTCTTCCCAATTTTATGCCATCTATAAATTTGATGAGAATTCCCTACACCTTCTAATCCAAGTCACTAATAAAACTGTTGAAGAGCTTCAGGGCCAGGATGGAGCCTTGTGATAGGCTTCTTTGAGAAGGAGCCATTGGTAACCACTCTCTGTATGTGATTCCGTAGCCAACGGTGTATCATGATAGAAACCCTTTTGACCTCTGGGTGGGCTCAATGCACAAGGAGGGAGAGTGAGGCAGAACCGCCTGGTCCAGTGGTCCCCAACCTTGGGCCTCCAGATGTTCTTGGACTACAACCCCCAGAAGCCTTCGTTACCACCTCTGCTGACCAGGATTTCTGGGAGTTGAAGTCCAAGAACATCTGGAGACCCAAGGTTGGGGACCATTGACCTGGTCCACCCTCACTCACCAATCTGTGATGGCTCTTCACCAAATACAGGGAAACTGATGTTTGGAGAGATTGACAAGTATCTCTCCCTGTAACAATGGAGGGATGGGACTAACTTGTTCCTTTTTGGTGTTGGCCCACCCAGCTACTGATTAGGGTTAGAGTGCTTCATGGACTGGGATGGAGGGAATGTCGCCCTACAATTTTGTGGGTGACGCCCCCCTCCCTGATCACATCCTGGTTCCAGACAGATCTCTGGGATAGATGTTGGGCACCAGATTTTTATTTTTCCCAAGCCATGAAATTCTACAGGTGGCCCTGGGCGAATAAAAATAATAATGGCTGTTGTGGAATTTTCAGGCTCTTTGGCCGTGTTCTGAACGTTGTTCTTCCTGACGTTTCGCCAGTCTCTGTGGCCGGCATCTTCAGAGGACAAGAGTAGGAACTCAGTCCATGCTCTGTTGCTCCTACTCCAATCCTCTGAAGATGCCGGCCACAGAGACTGGCGAAACGTCAGGAAGAACAACGTTCAGAACACGGCCAAAGAGCCTGAAAATTCCACAACAGCCATTATTATTTTTATTCGCCCAGGGCCACCTGTAGAATTTCATGGCTTGGGAAAAATAAAAATCTGGTGCCCAGACTTATGCCAACACTTTTCCAGGTACAGAATATTCAGAACTGGTTGACCCTTCCCTTCTTCTGGGGGTGCCCTCAGGCTGTGCAGCTTGCCCAAGGCCACCCAGGCTGGCTCTACTCATAGGAGGCACAGTGGGGGGGAATCAAACTCCCAACTTCCGGTTCTGCTGCCAGATACCTAAAACCCCTAAGCTATCCAGATAGCTGACCTTGGTTTAACCACCCTCTTTCAGCCTGACCTACCTTCAAGGACGGTTGTGAGGGTGAAGTAGGAAGGAGAAGAGCTGTGTACAATGTGGGTTTATTGAAGGAAAGTTGGGATATGAGTGAAACAACTGGGAAAATATATCTGAACTCCGAATAATCAGCCATTCGGTCTTGATGTGGAAACGTCATGAACCAAATACAAGGCTGCCAGCGTTTTATAAGAAAAGGCAATAAAACTCTCTTATCTCCATGCCATTCCGGAACTAGCTTGCTACATACATCATTTGTCCCCTTACATAAATCCGCCACCATCTGTATAAAAGGAAGGGAGAGGAGAGCGAGAGGGAATTTAGACATCCAGATCTCTGCCTCAAAGGTAAGCTGCTGTGGATTTCTTGCATTTAGTATAGCTGGTAAGAGGGAAACCCCACCTGTCCATATCTGCCTGCCTGCATCTAGGTTTACAAAGACTACCTGTTAGTCCTGCCAGAGCTGAAAAAGTTAGTTGTTTCCAGATCTGCCTTTGTATCTTTTCCAGAATTTCATATTTCGGAAATAATGGCTTTTAATTGTCAGCGTTTAGTCCTGAAATTTGTTATTTGCATTGTAGAGCTCCACGGGTTAAAACAATAGACAAAAGTACTACTTGTTTCCTAATCTCTATTGTTATCTATTCTGCCTGGTACTGTAAAATCCTGACTGCTGTTGGTGGGGGAAAGGAAATTGATTTCTGGATTGTAAATGCCAATTGTGGAATATTCAACAAATATATTTCAATTAATTGTGCATTCGCTCTGTAAATATTTGCTGTCAATGGGAAGATGTGGATTTGGGACAAGAATATGGAGTGCAAATTTGTTTCAGAGACACTGTCATGGGATGTATTTCATCTGCGTGGAACCACTCCGGAGATTTGACTGCCCTCCTTTGGACTGGTTATGGAGTGGCCGGGTGCCATCTCTTTCTTGGCAGTCATATGATGGACAGGGAACTGAGCTCCAGCCTGACCCTGATCCATGCCCAAAACTGGACCTTTTTTGGTCCAGCTGTAGGACCACTAGTTTTTGGGGCTGGACTGGAGCGATTCATCAGCAGATGGAAGAGTCACTTTAAGGGAGATGGCTCCCATTAACACGATCCTTTCCAGTGTGATTGGATGCATACTTTTCCAGTTGCCTGATGGCCCTCTAAGTTATGCCTTGGCACCTTATTCATTAATTGCAATTACAGTGGGACCTCGACTTACGAACGTCCCTATCTGTGAACATTTCAGCTTACGAACGACTCCATTCGCAAAAATTGGCATCGATTTGTGAATGAAGCCTCGACCTACAAACACAAAAAAGGCAGGGGAAAAGGGCAGGAAATTCAAATTTCTCGCCCTTTCCCCCTGCCTTTTTGCCTTTGGACCGTCTCCAAGGGCTTCCCCCCCTGACATCAGAGGAAGCCCTTTGAGACCTCCGAAGGTAAAAAGGCAGGGGGAAAGGGTGGTAAATTCGAATTCCCCTCGGAACGCATTGATCGGTTTTCAATGCATTCCTACAGGAAATGGTGCTTCAACTTAAGAATGTTTCGACTTAAGAACCGTAGTCCCAATATGGATTAAGTTCTTAAGTCGAGGTACCACTGTAGCTGCAACAAGTTATGTCAACCTCAATAATAAGGGTTCTGTGCCATCAGGTCAATTATGACCTATGGCAACCAACTTTCCAGACTTCCTAAGAGTATATATTATTCAGAATCAGTTCATCCCTCCTCTTCTGGGGGATTGCTCTAGGACTGTGCAGCTTGCCCAAAGCGACCCAGGCTGGCTCTTCTCCCAGGAGGCACAGTGGAGAATTGAACTCCCAGTTTCTGACTCCATAGCTAGATACCTAACTCACTGAGCTATCCAGCCAGCTTACACAAACACAGATAGGATTTTTGCCAGTAGTATTAAAAGAATAGTGTTCCTCCTAATACTTTCATTCAGTTTTCTTTTTCTTTTTACATCACGGCATCAACTCTTCCATGCCAATTATTTGATATACAGATTGTTGTATGGTTTAAAAAAAGTTAACCTAATGAGCAGTACATGATGTACTTAGTTCCTAATTGGTGAGAAAGGATCTGAGGCTCACAGTTTATATGACACCATTTAAAGAGTCCCCCAGATGACTATGATCAGGTGCTACTAGAAGCGGATTACCAATAGGCAAAATTGGGTACAGTTTTTGGGGTATGTTTCCGTTGAAAAATCAGTTAGATCTGTGAAAATGTATGTCTTTCTAGATTGCAGCATTTTGGAGATCTTTCCAAACAAATGGGCAAACTTTCACTCCCACCCCCACAAACCATCCATGATTTGGCTTGCAGTTCAAGGGAAAGGCTCTCATGGTTGACGTTTATAGGACTTGCTTTACAGAAAATCAAACAAATGCTGAGATAAGGGATTACAAAAAATTAATGATCAGCTGGAGGTCTGGAGAAATGAATGCTGAAATGAAACCAAGCAGAGCGAACTTAACTAAAATTGATATAAGACCTGATTTAAACCACCATTTCAATGTAACAAATCGGATTTTTTTTTGAAAATGTAAATCTCTCCCCCCCCAAAAAAAACACAGCTTTTAAAATTAAAATTGTGATTTAAATCAATTTTTTTAAATCATTAATTTTTATCCATCCTGTAACCAACTCGGTTGCTTTCAGTTAAAAATCAGTAGTATCCTTGCGGTGTTTGGTGCCCTCTTGTTCTCTCCTTCTAAGTGTAAACGAATTTGCAAACAAACTCTCGGGGGGGGGGATAGGGGAAGGAAAATAGGTAGGAACTGTTCTGCTCTGTGCGCACACAGAGCGGATCATTGATGCCTGGATAACAGGCAAAAACATGGGTAAGGATGAGCATGATAGCACCACAAAGTTCACTTTATTTCATTCGCCGCTCCTCTTTTTTTACAATCCTAATTTTAAAGGGGAAAAGACGGCTGAAGTAAGTGTGTTGGTTGGTGGTGGTAGTGGGAAGGAATTGGGGATTAGCTGGAATGCTGGGAAACACGTCATTTTTCTGCTGCTGATTTCTGGAAGTACAGGAGGACCCAGTATCCACAGGGGATCCGTTCCAAGCCCCCACCCTGTGGATGCTGAAAAAAAATTGGGGAAGTATGGAAAACTGCTTGGTATCTGCCTCCCTCAAGTGGCCAGTTCTGGTAAATGCACTCTGGAAATACACATAAATAGGTTTTTTTATTTAATGTTTTCAGCAAGCAGATAAGTGAATCAATGAATACTGATCCTGTAGGTGGGGGAGGGTCCTATTAGACAGAATTTGGACAGAAAGAACAATGTGTTCATATGCGATTTGGTTTCTCCCCCAGAGCTGGAAATTACTTTGGAGACATCCCATCTGTTCTCTTTAAAAGACATCATGAAGAGGTTCCTGCTCCTTTCCTTTGTTTGCTCTCTCTTCTCCGTAGTTCGTGGTGAGTGTTCTTAAGCCAATTCCAGTCATCGTGTTTTATGGGCTTCTTGGCCAACGATCATAAATGGGAACCCGGCGGCTGCTACTCTTTCCTTGCTTTGCAGCCGGTTGGCTGCTATCAGGAAGACAGAAAAGGCTTAACGTGGAAGCTTTCCTACTTCTGACCTACCATCGATCTTTTGGTGGAAAGCCAATGCCTGACCAGCCCACAGTGGGCTCCAATTTGAGCTCGAGAAGACTTAACTTGAAAGCCTTCCTACTTCTGACCTCCCATCGGATCTTTTGGTGGAAGGCCAATGCCTAACCAGCCCACAGTGGGCTCCAATTTGAGCTTTCAAATAGGACCACCCAAAGTACAGTGATGCCTCGCTTAACGAGGATAATCCATTCAAGCGAAATTGCTGTAGAGTGAAATCCTCGTTAAGCGAAAAACAAAGGCCCATTGAAATGCATTAAACCCCAGATAATGCGTACCAATGGGCTGAAAAACTCACCATCCAGCGAAGATCCTCCATAGGGGCGGCCATTTTCGGTGCCTATAAAGCAAGGAATCTGTCCAAAAACACAGCGGGGAGCCATTCTACACTGCAGATGGCCATTTTGAAGCCGCCGATCAGCTGTTTTAAAAACGTCGTAATGCGAAGAATTTAAGATCGTTGCAAAGCGGATTTTACCTATAAAAACATCGTTTTGCAATTGCAAAAGCGATTGCAAAACAGTCACCGTATAGCGGTTTTGTCGTTTAACGAGGCAATCCTTAAGCGAGGCACCACTGTAAAGCAAAGCAAAAGCAAAGGGTGCTGCTTATATACCGTCCCATAGTGCTTAAAGCTCTCTCTGGGAGGCTTACAATTTAATTATGTAGGCTACACATTGCCCCACTCCCTAATGAGCTGGGTACTCCGATTACTGAACTTGGAAGGCTGGAAGGCTGAGTCAACCTCAAGCCAGCTACCTGAGCCCATAGGGATAGAACTCAGCTCACGAGCAGAATCTTCACTGCAGCACTGCAGTTTAACCCCTGTGCCATACATAATTAAGATGTTTCCACCACCCCTCTTGTCTCTCTATTTCCAGGAGCTGACGATATTACATGTGCTTCTTGTTCTGTTGAAGAAACTAACTGTAACACGAACTGCACGGCACAAACTTGCATCGCCCTAAGGGAACTCAACACATTAAGTGAGTACCATAATGATCTTTAAACACCATGCTCGCCAATCCTCCTGGGGAGGTATACAGATCATGTTCTCCCTAGCCTTAGCTTGTTAGAGATACAACATATAAGGATAAGAGGAGGAGGGTGGAAGAAGAAGAAAGTAAGCTGATTCAGGCACCTTTTTTTGTTTTTATGATCGTAAATCTCATAATGGTCATGTTGAATGGAGGCACTCTAAGCAATGGAGAAGCAAAATGGAGTCGATGTCTCAGCAGCTCCCAAGTCATATTTTCCCCTCCTCACTTTCCGCTGATGACCGTTAATGGCTGTAGACAGTGAAGGATGGGAAGTGTTTTGTGGAAGCGATCTGGAGAGCTGTTGGAGCGTTTTCTTCTTCCCATCTTACATGTTGTCAATAACGTTTGGATCTTTGTGCATACAAGCAATGTAGATGAATAAAGCTTGTAGAAATAGACAAGCTAGTTTGCCTGGGACTCATTTTTTCTCTGTTTAATTCACCGTGGGTGAAAATGATGCTTCGTTCTCATCCTCTAATGGAAATGGAGAAAGTTTGGAAGCTACATTTTTGGTGAGCCAGGCAGGAGGAAGTAAATGACTTACACCTTGATGCTCATGTGAACTTTGATACAATGGTCAGGATTATCCGGCTCACACTGGTATTAGGGATAAATGTTAGCAGTGATGGACTACCACAGAGTGAAATGACCAAGGGGTGTTATGAAGTTTTATAGTGCTCTGAGGTCTTTGTTTGAGTGTCATACTTTTATCCTTGACACTTTTGCTGCATCTCGCCACCAACACCTGTTTTCTCTTTTCTCCAGAAAGTGCCAATGGGACATACAGAGGCTGTTTAAGTGAAAACAGGACGTGCAACCCCCTTGCTTTCACTTTCTCTACTGATGATAATCAGCAAGTGCAGAGCAGTGTGGCCTGCTGCACAACCGAGATGTGTAATGACAAACTCTCTCTGAGCGGTGAGTATACGCTGTGCTTGGAAAGGGCTCTTGGGCAGAGATGCTAGGGCCTGTGATTTCTCTCCTGAAAGCACTGGTGGAAAAATATATATAATATTGAGGGGGAGTTATTGTTTCTGGGAAAAGTGATGGAAACTAGTGGTGTTGCTTGGGGTTAATTGCTAGCTTCATAAAACAAGCCGGCTGTAGACCCTTATGGTGAGGCAAGTGGGTTTTGAACCCGTAGTCAGAGCAGTGGGAGGCAGAACAAGGCAGAACTGGATTTAATGGTAGATTTGCAGATGATTTGTAGTGGAGTGACAAGGTTTTCTGATTCCAGACTAGAGACGGGCATGACTCGAACCATGAACCGGAGAAACCAATGAAGCAGGGAGACAGAGGGCAAGAGCAGATAGGTCCCTCATCCCCCCCCCAACAAACTGAAAACACACTAATCACCCATCTACAGAAAAAGACAAAAGCCTATCTCACAGCCATAAATACTGCACTCCCAAGCCAACTACACCAGAGCACAGGTTGCGGTCCTCTGAAGATGCTGGCCACAGAGACTGGCGAAACGTCAGGAAGAAGAACAACCTTCAGAACACGGCCAAAGAGCCTGAAAAACCCAGAACAACCATTAGATCCCGGCCGTGGAAGCCTTCGCGAATAAACTGAAAACACACACTATGAAATGCCTTGAGTTTCCAGGGGCTCATGTGGTTAGTGATTCACACTTGGCCACGAACCACCTGTTTTCTGGCTTATGCCCATCTCTGTTCCCAATAGTTTAGACACAGCAACAACAAAATGAGTTTTTTTTCTACACCGAATAAAGTTTTGGCAAGGTGAGGTGGGGTGGATTGTCATGTGAGAAGACCGCAGGTTCAGTTGATAGCCCGGAAAGGAATTCTTTGTGTGACCCCCTTGCATAGGGACTCTTACATCTTTAATTTTTCTTGGCACATGCCTTCTCTGAGTTACCAGCTGATCTCCGTTGGTAAATTGGGAGGGTTTTTGAGGAGGGGGGGGAATCCAAGTAGATTTCAGAGATCTGAACTGTGGAGCTGGAAGGAATCCTATGGATTATCGGGTGCAGCCCCTTTTCAAGGAGGCAGAGTGGGGAATCAAACTCCCAACATGCAGCTAGAGACCTATATCACAGAGCTATCCGGCTTGTTAACAAGGCAAAACATGACATTGCTTGTTCCAGTAAAATGAGACCTGTTCCTCCATGACTCTGCTCTAACTAAAGTTTGCCTCTGATTATTATTTTTTCCAGCACCTCCCACGAGCACTGTTGAAAATGGAGCGCATTGCGCAGTCTGTGAAGCGTACAACAAGAGCACGTGCGAGAGCACAAAGAAAATCGCCTGCAAAGGAGCTGAAATCAAATGCATCACCCTCTCCGGGGAATCTCTCCGTACGTTTTAGCTACTCTTCCCCATTCCCCTCTATGGAACTGCTTCACAGTGGGTCTTTCTCAGAAGGTCTGATAGGGTCTTCCAAAGGTGGGAGATCCATTGCCTATTCTTGATCAGCTTTTGTGTCCACTTGGGAGAGGGAAAGGAAAGTAGGGTGAAGACGGGATCTTGGAAATGGGAATGAGTGGGACCTCAACGGCATTACTCCATTCTTTCTTAGGAAAAAGCCAGCCAGACTCCTTAGACATGGCTGGTCCTGTTATTAGCCCAGCGTAAGCAGCTACCACCAATAGGTGATTTGAGGTGCCAGCTTAGGCTTCATTTAGAGCAGTGGTTCTTAACCTTTTTGAAAGAAACACTCCCTTGAGCCATTGAGGAAGTTATCATCGCCCCCCTCCCCGTGGCGCAGCAGTGGCGGTGGTGCGGGGAGGGGAGCGGTGATAACTTCCTCAATGGCGGTGGCACAGTGGCTCCATTGTCCCCCCCATCGCCCACTTCTGTTCCTTCGCCCTTGCATTGCTGCAGTGGCTCCATTGCCCCCCCATCACCCACTTCTGTTCCTTCGCCCTTGCATTGCCCCTCTTCATTCCATCACCCCTTTAAAAAACGAAATCGCCCCCTGGGGGCGATATCACCCAGGTTAAGAACCACAGATCTAGAGCATAGGTTTCCAGAGTGGCCTATATGGACCCCCAGGGGTCGATTTCGACTTGCAGGGGGTCCACGTCAGAGAGGAAAAAAAATTGGGGATGCATGAAATGTAAATGGGGGTCTATGTGAGCAGATCCCATTAGGGAGATCATAATAAATATTTAGCCAATCTGTAATTGCACCAAACCCAGATTCTGGGTACATAATATTTCATAATATTATTTAATTAGGTACTATGTGTTATCTGTAATGTGGTATGCTACACTCATGTGTAAGTTCATAAAATTATTGGTAAAAATTTATGGCAAATGTCGGCATGTTGTAAATGGGATTGACGACATTTTGTCTTGTCTTATTACTGAGCTATACGGGCACACACGTAGGTAGGCAGAGGGTCTACGGAAAACAAATGTTGGCAAGTGGTCTATGGGGCAAAAAAAGTTTGGGCACCTAGCGTAATGTGTCCAGTTCTGGACACTGCATTTGAAGAGTTTGGGCACCTATGTTCTAGAGTAATGTTTCCAGTTCTGGACACGGTATTTGAAGAAGGATGCCAACAAAGAGCATCCTTCCTTGGAGAAAGTTCAGAGGAGGGCAACAAGGAGGATCAGGGGACTGGAAACCAAGCTCTATCAAAAAAGACTGAAAGAACTGGGCATGTTTAGCTTTCAGAAGAGAAGACTGTGTAGTAGCTTTTCAAATACCTAAAAGGTAGTCCTACAGAAAAGGGGCAGGATCTGTTCTCAATCAACTCAAGAGTGCAGGAAACGCAGCAGTGGGCTCAAGCTACAGGAAGCCAGATTTTGGCTGAATATCAGGAGAAACATGTTAATGGTTAGAGCAGTACGACAATGGAACCAATGGCCTCAGGTGAACGCTCCAACATTGGAGGCATTTAAGAGAAAACTGGAGAACCCTCTGTTGATTTGGATTCCTGCCTTGAGCAGGGGGTTGGACTCAATGGCCTTATGGGCCCATCCCAACTTAATTATTTTATGATTCAATGACTGTATGAAATGCTACTAAATGGTTAGTCACTTAATGGAATGAGATTTTATTTTCCTACCAATGAAAGGAAGAGACCTTTCTGTCCTGACTGATTAACTGAGTGATTGATTTGACAGTGAAATGCAAAATAAGTTGGTTGGCCTCCTGTGTTAACTCCCCCCGCCATGATTTAGTGATTACGTTGGGGATGGGTAGAAGTGGTGCCCATTTTCTCTCTACCTCAGGCAGAAGCAGAAAAGTAACTTTGAGTCTCGCACTAAATCTCCTGAAATGCACCACAAGAGAGCATATCAGGAAAAACCTGGCGCTTGCACAGACCAACCAAGGTCCTTCTTCTAAAGCTACCATCGCAAGAAAGTGGTCTTGAGAGAGAAAGCTAAATCGTCCATTTGTCTGAATTTTCACTCTCTCTTCTTCTACTTTCTCCAGAGGATAAGAACGAAACTTTCGCAATCAAAGGATGTGCCACTGAGAGCGCTTGCACTATGGTAAAGGGTGACCCATTATCCTATGGAAGCAAAATCTACCAGCTCTCCGAGAATCCTGCTTGTATTAACCAAGGAACCTTGGCTGCTCTGTCTTCTGTAATCATCATCCTTCCTGCGGTTGTTCCACTCCTCATGACCAGTGTCCTCTCTTGATCTAGCTGCCTGCCATTTTCTTCCAAATTTGTGTTGGATACGAACATGACAATGGGGTGTGGTCTCCAGAACCAGGAATAACATTTTAATCAGGGGGGACTATCTATTTTTGTGTGTGGAGGGGAGAACATATACATTTTCCTCTTCTGAATTTCCGAGGGACCTCACCCTTTAGCTCCCATCGTCGTCATCTAGTCGTTTAGTCGTGTCCGACTCTTCGTGATCCCTTTAACTCCCACTCTCTACCTATACACCCCTGTTCCTGTTGTGGTTAAGAACAGGAACAGTTGCCCACCCCTGGGATTCTCCTTGCCCTTTTCCACACTGAAAACATTTCTGGATACTCTGAGGTAGAGTTGTTCCTCAGATGGGTGTAATCTCCCTATGGGCTGCATAGCTCCTTGGAATGCTCCGAAAGGTGGCCGAAGTGGTGGATGAGGAGCAAATGAGATCTAAATTTGTAAAGGGAAATAAATGATTTTTTAAAAAATTGATTTTTTAAGTTTGCAAAGCCTCCAGGCACAAGAAACTGCACACAGTGTTCCGAGCAGACAGCGATAGGCTGTTGGCTTTGAAAGAACCATTTGCATGTTGAGAAGAGACAGAATCACGAACTTGATCATGTCCTCTCTCTTTCTTGGAGTTCCTGAGCATACAGTGAGTTTTTCAAAGAGAATCCTGAATGATCTACCCTCAGCTTATTTATTCATCAGCAGAAAAAAACAACAACCCCTCCACTTATTCAGGCAAGCAGTTGATTCAGCATAAGAAAATAATACTATTTTCAAACCCCAGAAATACCTATTTATATATGAATTTCCAGGATATATTTACCAGAAATGGCCATTAGAGGCCTGTCTATACCAGGTCTTTATTGTTTTGACCACTTTGGTCATCCAGCTTCCACCAATTTAAAACGTAAGTACAAATAATACTATATACACAAACTGTCGTAAACTTTGTGATATAAGGGGAAGAGGTTGTCCCTGGACTATGGCAGAAATACTTCCAATAAACAACAATAAACTCTTACACATGTCTATGCAGTGGTACTTATTCTGATACACATGTGTATGATTAATAACCAACATATGCAATGAATGTATTGATATTTGTGCAGGATATGTTATCACCAGAATCTCATTCATTCAAATTTGTTCGCTGACGTTTCAAATTTTAAATGAATGCTTTATTCCCGTTTGAAAAATAATAAAATAATTTGTTATAATAGAAATTGCTCTTGTTGTTGCTATGTGCTATCAAGCCAGAACTGACTTCGTCGGCAGCCCTAACAGGGCTTTTGAAGGTGAGATATTTAGGGAGTGGTTGTGCTAGTTTCCACTCCCCCCAACGAACTTCCATGGCTGAGTCGGCATCCGAACCTGGGTGTCTTGAGAACTAGTCTGTCACTCAATCCACTACACCACATTGGGTATCCTATAAATTGCTTTAGAGTTCCTTTAAAAAAGCTAAGCAAAGTGAAGAATCTCTTTCTCTCTCATACACAAAGACACAAACAATGATTTTGTAAAATTCGTGCAATATGTGAATTCTGCTTGTTCGTTGCACCTTCGTCCAGATGCTGCCTTTTAGTCCTTCTGGAATGTTGCAGTTCTTACTACCTGTTCAAGAAAATCTTGCCCATGTACTATCCAGTTTCCAGTAACAAGGCTATCTGACTGGGGATATGTACTATGTTACTTGCCCAATGCATAAAGGAACAAGAAACAGGTCTGGCAATTGAAAGGTTCCTATTGCAACAGGAGGGCTGGTCGGCCAAGACGTCAGAACGTGAACACACAACCAATAACTGAAGAAAGGAGAGAAACCAAAATGTATGCATGTATGTATTTCTCTCCCTCATTTTCCTTGTCTCTTTCTGGGTTTTTCTAATATTTCAGATTTTATCATAAGTCTACATGGAAAAGCATATTGTTTTAGGTGTATTGATGCTCTTAGTAACTGGTTTCTAATCCATTATTTCATTCACTCAACTGTTTGAATAGCACTAAATGCAACACATCTCATAATTTTGGAGCAGCTTCGCCTGTGAGTGGATGACAGACCTCCTGCATGTTTTAACTGGTGCCACATATAGAAATATGCTGAAAAGCTGGAAATTGTTGAAGGTGGTCTAGAGATTATCAGGATTAGGGACTTACTTCTTATAGTGTTCTTATCTCAATGCTAGCTGCATGTACTGGTGGGTGGGGTGGTTATTGGGCAAGATGCCCCTTTGATTCTTAGCATGGCTGTCTACTTGCCATGAACACTGATATTCTTTGGCCTCTAGCTCAGAGGTTGGGAGGTGGATTCCCACTCTGTCTCCTTGAGGGGGGTGATATGATAACACTTTTCAAATACTTGAAAGGCTGTCATATTGGGGGGGGAGGAGGTTCCTTGATCATCCCAGAGCGCAGGACACAAACAACAATGGGTTCAAGTTACAGGAAGCCAGATTTCAATTGAGTATCAGGAAAAACCTCTTAACTGTTAGAGCAGTACGACAATAGAGCCAATTACCTTGGAAGGTGGTAAGTGCTCCAACACTGGAGGCATTCAAGAAGAACTTTGACAACCACCTTCCAGATATCCTTTAATTTGCATTCATGCGTCAAGCAGGGGGTTGGACTTGATGGGCTTACAGGCCCCTTCCAACTTCACTATTCTATGATTCTATTGAAAGGGCTGAACTCAATGATCCATAGGGTGCAAGGTTCCCTCCAGGAGGAACGGCTGCGTGAGCGCACCTGATTTCACCCCCCTCCAAACAGGGCTACTCCTCCTCTGCCCATCCACCGCGATCATTTCCAGCCCCTTTGGTTCTGGTCAAAACAGAACCTCACGTGGGGGGCGGAGTCATACAGGTGAGGGGCGGAGCCTCACCCGGTGGGGCTGAACATTAGAGGGAATCTTGATAAGGTTTCCTTTACAACTCTGCAGTTCTAGGACTATTATCCGTTTGCCCGCTCTCTCTAAGTGCCATTGAGCCGAAGGTCAATGGCAATTTTGGGCAGATTTCTTTCTTCTGACATGCAGATGAGCAAAACAGAAAGAAGAGCAGAACAATCATCATCATCATCATTTGTGGTTAGGTCTGAGCCCTTGGAAAGTATGGTGTGATGCCAAATGATATGGTAAAAGCTACCAGTAGCTGTAGCCCTGTCGTCTGTCGCTGAAAAGCCCAGTAGCTCAGATCAAAGCAAAACTGGTGGTTTTATTACCAGGTAGTAAAACCACATTTTCATCATAATTTGCACATGTCATCAGCCAAGTGCAAATTAGAGTCCAAAGGTCCTAACGCAGGCCAAGCTACTTAAAGAAAGGAAGACAAGGAATGGGGGTCTGATGGCACCAAGGTCTTTAAGAGTGGGAACAGATATTTTTTTTAAAAAAAGTTCTGTGGGAATGGAAAAATAAATACAATTTTTGAGCCTCGTCTGGTGGCTCCAGGTACACATTGTTCCTGTACTTATCAACTGGTGTCACCAGAGACACAAGAAGTAACTCATTACCCACCACGTAGGGCATTGCATTTATATCAGCATTACTAAACAGGATTCTGCATGACAGATATTCATACAGGCAAATAATAAAAATGTAGATACCCTTTAAAATTCTTTATTTGATTTGGACGTTAACCTGTGAAGACTAAAGATAGTGAGATGGTATTTTCACCCTTTATTCTGGGAAGGCTTTCGGGGGGTGTCACCTAATTCCTAGAATCCCATTGGTGATTTGCTTGTGTGTAAGTGACATCACTTACACACAAAGGGACGTGGTGGCGCTGCGGGTTAAACCACAGAAGCCTCTGTGCTGCAAGGTCAGAAGACCAGCAATCGTAAGATTGAACCCATGCAATGGAGGGAGATCCCGTCGCTTGTCCCAGCTCCTGCCAACCTAGCAGTTCGAAAGCATGCAAATGTGAGTAGATAAATAGGGACCACCTCGGTGGGAAGGTAGTGGTGTTCTGTGTCTAGTCGCGCTGGCCACGTGACCATGCAAATAGTCTTTGGACAAATACTGGCTCTATGGCTTGGAAACGAGGATGAGCACCACACCCTAGAGTTGGACACGACTAGACTCAATGTCAAGGGGAACCTTTACCTTTACTTAAGTGACATCACATAAGTCAGGAGGCAAACGGCTGCTCGTTCACAAGGCGCACAGTCCACCTCCCCCAAGAAAACAATGGGGCTGAGATTTCAGAAGGATACAAGCCTCTGTGACACCTCCCAGGGTAAAGCCACAAAATCGCTCCGGATGAAGAAATTAAATGAAAAGATAGCCTAGCCATGCCGTTGAAGTACAACCTGCACACGGCACAGTAAACAAGGCAGCAGCTGTGCCTATTTTCTCTAGGACAATGTGTGCTGGGAAATTACAGTCTCCCTACAACAAAAGAATAATGGGGAAAATGCGTGGTTTTTGCTGTGAGCTCATGTCGCTATCTGGCCTTAGTATCTGAGGGTTGAAAGCGTACAGTTCTACCCATCAAGCATTGTGCCTTGAATAACCCAATTCCATTCTGATTTTGGAAGCTAAGCAGGGTCAGATCTGTTTAGTACTTGGATAGAAGATGTCCAGATAGGGCTAGAAAAGTCTGCTCATAATTTGAGGGGAGATCTCCAGCAGCTAGGGCTGGGAAAGGAAGCTGCCGGTCCAAGTTGACGATACTGGACCAAACGGAGCACAGGTCTGTCTCTGAAGAAACCAGGTTTCTAAGTACCTATGTCCTATGCTTTTTGGTCTGAAACCACCCTTCTTTTAATGGGGTTCAGTACTGATCTTGAGCCCTGGGCTGAAGGCAACAGAATGAAACTTAGCAGGGATAAGTGCAAAGTTCTACACCTAGGAGGGGAAAAAATGCACAGTTTCAAGATGGGGAATACTTGGTTCAGAAATACTGTAAGAGAATAATTTTGGAATTGTTGTATCTCCAAACAATTCCTGATTCTCTCCCCTCTTCTCTCTATTCGATTTATTTTGTATGCTCGCCATCTGGCAGAATTCTTTAATTGTGTAATAATTTTTGCTTATATTTGTTATGTATTTTATGTTGTAAGCCGCCTAAGTGTGGTCGCAATGACCAGATAGGCGGGGTATAAATAGAATGAATGAATGAATGAATGAATGAATTAATTAATTAATTAATTAATTAATTAATTAATTAAGTTCAAAAGCTGAGTTTCAGCCAAGAGTGAGATGTCGCTGCAAAAAAGGCAAATGCATTAACAGAAATAGAGCCTCCAAAGTCTGAGAGATACTAGTCCATATCTATTTGGCACTGGTTAGGCATCATCTAGACTACTGTGTCCAGTTCTGAACAGAACAAACTGAAAGATTGTGACATTTTTAGCCTTGAAAAAAGGAGACTGAGGACAGATATGATAACACTTTTCAAATACCTGATAGGTATTTGATACAGAGGAGGGACAAAATCTGTTCTCAATCAGCCCAGAGCACAGGACACATAATCATGGGCTCAAGCTACAGGAAGCCAAATGAAGGCTGAATATCAGGAAAAACATCTGAACTGATAGAGCAGTACAACAATGGAACCAATTATCCTGAAAAGTGGTGAAGACTCCAACACTGGAGGCATTCAAGAGAAAATTGGACCACCACATTTCAGATCTGCGTTGATTTGGATTCCTGCCTTGAGCAAGCGGTTGGACTGTTATTCTGTGATTCTAATTCCAAGTCACTGTCCATAAGAAATGGGGTGGGGGGGATAGAGACAGAGACTGTTTGCACAACCCTTTCGACCCCCTTAGAGAACAATTGGCAAAAAGAGAGAGCAGAATTACCACTTTTAGGATAGCTTCCAGAAAGAACAAACCATCTTTAAAACATGATGCACAGCCCCCATATGCCTTGTTTTCACCCCACCACCCCAAACAAGTTTTACGAAACCAGAAGGAGACTTCTGGATGCTTCTGGCTTCATATTTCCCCATCAGTGCAACTTCCAGAATGTTCTGAGTTGCGACTGTTTGGTCGTAGACCCCGGCAGCTTGCCCGCCGCCACTGTTGACTGATAGAAGTAGATGGGAGAATGGATGCGGCTGTGATGTCATAATCACATCAGCCAATAGCCTGCCTTTTTTCGACTCTGCTGTTGCCACGTAAACTTTAGCGGAGATGTTCCTGGAATGACAAGACCTCCAAGCGATGGTCTTGGCTCCTTTAATGGGTGCATGTGATTGACCTTTGATGGAAGGGACATTGAAATCTGATAGCTAAAGGAAGTTCCTGTTCATGCGCAAGCAATATCCAATTTGCTGAGAGTGTGTGATAGATTGTTGGTTCTCAACCAGTGGTACGTGTATTGGACCCAGAACTACTTCTGCTGGGATGGAGGGTTTTCCTAACAGTTACTAACAATTTGCTGTCCTCAGTCCTTTTTGTCCTTTTGTAAGGAGAGTAAGAGAATTGTTATTCATTCTGTGTATGCAATTATTTTTTTCTAGGTTCTTACTGTCACAAAAATTGCTGCTATGTTTTTTATGTCCTGAAAATGTACAGGAAGCCATCAATATTGTGCACCAGCTTTGCAGAAAGATGTCCTAATGGGATATATTTATGGTTGAGGATCAGACACACAGTAGTCTATAATCTTCTGGAAATTCCACAAGTTCACTTTGCAGAAAGATGTCCCAATGGGATGGCTCAGGGATATATTTATGGTCGAGGATCAGACACACAGTAATCTATAATCTTCTGGAAATTCCACAAGTTCCCTCTGGGTCTTTTGGAGTCAGAAATGATGACCTTGGAGAGAAAAAATGACACCAGTAGTTGTAACAAAATAATGAAGCGCCAAAGTAGAATAAGATTTGATGGCTTCTTCTGAAGTCCCAATGAAACCCCAAATGTCTCCTCCAAATGTCAATATTTGAGCCCCTTTGGATTCACTAGACTCTATAGGTTCCCATGACCTTGTATATTTCCATTCACTTGATGCATCCAGATGTGAGAAAGCCAACCAACCAGCTGTGCAGTCATGTTGCATTTATGCATGAGAAGCAGAGGATGGTTAATCCCTTATTAGACTGGCTATGTTTTTTTCTTTTAGGAAGTTGCATCTACAACCCAGTGCGCATGTGAATGTGGGATGAATGACTGAATCTCTTGTGTGGGCTTTGTTTGGAAAGGTCAAAGTAATGTTAGGGACAATCTCTCCTCTTCCCATCAGTTTCTATATTATTTCTTTTATTTTTCTTCTTTTATGCCTGCTGTTGGCTGATGCAGGGTGGATAGCGCATTGGGTCCTGTAAAGATTGTACAAAAACCCAGCACAAATTCCCTGTCCCTGTGAAGTCAGAGAAACCAACCTCAAGTACTTTCCTTTTCTTTTATTGTCACTCAGTAGTTGTAAACTGCTTAACTGAACTAGAGACCCCCTCATTTAGCTGCCACTTAACCTCCCATTGTCCTTTCTTTTTCTCCTATGTTCTCAAGACCATGTGGATGTCTTTGATCTTCTTCCTCTTCTGCCTCCTGCTTGGTATAGGTAAGTTCACAGCATGGTGCGAAAAAGAAGTTGTGAGAAAGAAAAAAGAAACAAGGTCTCTCCTTTTCAGTTCCCCTCCAAAAGAGAAGGAGACAGAGTACAAGGAGGGGATGTATCACTGCTCATTTCTTTCTGGCAGTGAGAACGATTTTTTTCTCATTGAGATAATGAGCATTTTTGTGCTTTTTTAAAAAGTACATAAGGAATCTCTTTTTTCAAAGAATGTGAAATTGTTTTTGCACAAAAGCCGTTATATTTTGCAAAACAAACAAAAAACTCTTGTGTTTTGCACAAAATACATGGTTTTCTTCGGGGAAAAAAGTCTTCCCCCCTGCCCGGATGTTTTCCTAAGTCAAAACAACAACAGCAACAATATTAATAATGATGATGTTTTTGTTGCTAGTAAAAAAAAGTCAAATTAACACAAAAAGCATAATATTTCTTTGCTGTGAGCAAAACGTCTTGTGATGGTTGATGATGCAACCAGAATCCTGTTGATGAAATATGCATGCATAAGTTGAATTGCAAAACTCTCCATGGCAAATTGCCAGTAAACTAATGAGATGCTGCTCATAGGACAAGGGTGCAATCCGTGTGTATGCCTGTTAATGGAACCAGTGCTTCATTAGTTATCAGCAATTGACTGTGATAAGTAACATGATTCAACTTACACATACAGTGGTGCCTCGCTAGACAGGTACCCCGCATGACAGTTTTTTCGCTGGACATTGACTTTTTGCGATCACTATAGTGATTCGCAAAACAGGATTTCTATGGGGGAATTTCGCTGGACAGTGTTTGGTCCATGCTTTGCAAACTGTTTTTTGCTAGACGATGATTTTGACAGCTCCCTCCGCACTTGCAAAACAGGTGTTTTCGGGACCTAAGCTTTGCAAGATAGCGATTTAAACAGCTGATCGGCGTTTCGCAAAGCGGCTTTCCTATGGCTGATCTTCGCTAGACAACGACGATTCTTCCCCATTGGAATCCATTAAACAGGTTTCAATGCATTCCATTGGGGAAATGCTTTTCGCTAGACAATGATTTCGCTAAACAGCAATGTCAGTGGAATGGATTATCATCATCTAGCGAGGCACCACTGTACATGAATCACCAACAGGATTCTGGATAATTTCTTTGGACAGGAGCTCTCAGTAGGTTGAGACTTTATCTGTTGATAATAAGAAGGTCCACATTGCATCCTTAGTGCAAAGCAATCCAGACTACTTAAGAAGAAAGAAGATGGGATTGGTCCCCACTCTTCTTCTTACTATTCTGACGTTTCTTCCTTTCAGGCGTATGTTTGCGCTGTGAGCGTTGTAGCAGCAGCAGCACCTTGTGCACTGGAATACCTTATCCCTGCTCAGAAACTGAAGATTCCTGTCTCGTCATGACCACAGAATACGTCATTGGTGAGGAACCTTGCCTTTTCCTGGGCAAACACTCTGCTGAACTGAGAAAGGTTCAGAGGAGGACAACAGGGATCGGGAAGGGACTGGGAAGAAAAACTGAAATAGTTGGGTGTGTTTAGCCTCCAGCAAAGAAGGCTAAGGGGAGATATGAAAGCACTGCTCAAATACCTGAAAAGTTAGAGAGAGGAGGAGCAGGATTTGTTCTTGATTTTCCCAGAGCGCAGGACATGTAAGAATGGGCTCAAGCTACAGGAAGCCAGCTTTGCGCTGAATATCAAAAACAACCACAACAAACCCTTCTTAACTGTTAGAATAGCACAACAATGGAACTAACAGGTCTCAGGAGGTAGTGAGTGTTCAACTATAGGATGCAGTCAAGAAATAAATTAGACAACCCTCTGTCAGAGCTGCTTTGACTTGGATTCCTGACTTGAGCAGAAGGATTGGGCTTAATGGCCTTTTAAGCCCCTTCCAAATCCATTCTGTGATTCTGTGATACCCCGTTGTCTTCCCAGAGCATCCAAGCGCTGTGGGTGAACAGCTGAAGCATGCCTTCAAAAATGAATCTTTTTGAAAATGTGTTCAAACTCATCATCCCACCTTCATCTCAGTGAGGAGATTCCATGCCGTAGCAACTCAGCCATCCCACTTCTCTTCCCTGGCATTTGGGCTATGAGGTCACTCCAGAGGAAAGAGGGAGTGCACAAATATATCCAGGATTCCCTGATGAAATCTTTGCTCCATCTTCGTTCCTGGCTAGTAAATAGTACATCCAAAGAGCAGAGGAGATTTCCTGCCTTTCTTGAGAATGGCAGACTATAGTTTTTTCTCGTCTCACCAGAGAAGTGCTGGCCAGCGTCCATTTTGTTGGCCATGTTGACAAACATAGAGCAGCAATGATGGCCAGCTAGTCAAGATTCTGTGACTCAGCTCCTAACTCACTGCCTTGACATTCCCCTCTACTTTTCTGTATTTCCTTCCGCCTAACTTGAAGGGTTTCTTTAGATGTTAATTTTAGTCTCTGGGAACTTTCCCCATTAGGATACAATTAAACACTACTTATCATAAATTGATTATGTTGCACGTGTTCCCTTTAAGTCAGGTTCGGGACTTTAGGAACAGAAAATATAACAAATGAGATATTAATTGTAGTATTTATAGTATTTCTGATATTTACAGTAATAAGGAAGCTGGGGGAGATTTTGACCTATGCAACCTGTTGGCCTGATAAGGGACAAATGAAATATCTATTTTTTAAAAAAAACTAGAACCAGCAGAGGAGTGGGTAAAGTTTAAACGTCATTCCCATCTAGTCATTATCTTTTTTTAAAAAAAGAATTACTTTCTCAGTTGTAAAAACACTCCTTCAGTGGTGCTTATCTATCTGATGATGTTTGACAGTTTGTTGCACAAACGTAGGGATTAGGTAGGGGGTAGGGAGCACATAAGGGACGTGGTGGCGCTGGGGGTTAAACAATGTTTGACAGTTTATTGCACAAACGTAGGGATTAGGTAGGGTGTAGGGAGCACATAAGGGATGTGGTGGCGCTGCGGGTTAAACCACAAAAGCCTCTGGGCTGCAAGGTCAAAAGACCAGCAGTTCGAATCCACATGATGGAGTGAGCTCCCGTCGCTTGTCCCAGCTCCTACCAACCTAGCAGTTCGAAAGCATGTAAAAATGTTAGTACTGTAGATAAATAGGTACCACCTCGGTGGGAAGGTAATGGTGTTCCATGTCTAGTCGTGCTGGCCACGTGACCATGGAAACTGTCTTCAGACAAACGCTGGCTCTATGACTTGGAAATGGGGATGAGCACTGGGCCCTAGAGTTGGACACAACTGGACTAAAATGTCAAGGGGAACCTCTACCTTTATAGGGAGCACATAATGTTGAAAGATATTGATCCCAGAGTCAATGAAAGCCAGGACTGCGGGCAGAATGTAGAATGCTCTCTATATATGCCACAGAGTTTCTAGTATGTACAAAATATTGTCTTACCAGTTTAGTGGCTAAAGTGTTCATCTGAATCTTGGGACAGTCTAACTGATCCATCAAGCTTGTTAGGGGCAAACTTGGACTAACTTCCTTTCTCCTCAAACCTGACCTACCTCCTAGGATTGTTGTGCTTGTGAGACGAGGAAAAGGAGAATGGTACACAATGCATTGAGCTCCAGATGGCAAATATCTGGCTATAGGAACAGTAAATAGAATGAATGGGAGGAAGGACTGAAAGATCTGGGTGTATTTAATAATAATCATGCGCCATGAAGTCAAGTCTGACTTAGGTTGACCTTTTTTTAAAGGGTTTTCCAGGTAGGAAACATGAGAAATGGTTTACTATTCTCTTCACCTGGGGTGCCCTGGGACTGTGCATGCAGCTCGTCCAAGGCTACATAGGCTGGCTCTTCTCCCAAGAGGCATAGTGGGGAATCAAACTTCCAACCTCTTTAATGATTCTCTTCATCTGCGGTGTTTGGGGTGATTTTTAAAGCAAGGTTGACAATTCAGTGACCAATAAGCCTGTATTTTTGCTGTTGTTTTTCTTCTTGACAACCCCTAGCCAACAATGACAGATGGGTGGCCACCTACAAGGGTTGTACCAAGAGAAAGTACTGCCCTTCTCCCTCCTCGAGTGCCACATTCCCTTCTCAGCGCAAACGGAGAGCTGTCAGATGTTGCCAGAAAGACTTCTGCAACAAGGGATCAGTGACGTGTAAGTGTCCCCTTCGGAATGTCTTCTGAAGAGTGGTTGAGGGTTGGACTGATTTCCAAAGAGAAGGCTATAATCACTGCAACTGAAAGAAGCAAGAGCTGTCCTTGGAACGATAGGAATAGCCACTGGGAACTTTTGGTTTCTGTGCAAAAGAAGCCGTCAACCCATGATTTTTCCAAAAGACACAGACAACCCATCCTGTGCTTCTCTTGAAAGTCTGTGAAACCAGAGCAACTGTTTTGGTCGTTTTGCACAATTTGTGTCAGTTGCAGAAAAATCATTCTGGCAAATATGAAAGGTCTTGTTAAGTCTTCCAGAAAAATAATTCATCCATTCTCAAGTAAGGTGGAAAAATTTTTTAGAATGAAACAAGGAAGGTTTTGCATTGCTAGTCCAGACACAATTGTGGCTCCATTTCTTTTATATACCTACACATGCAGAGTTCTTGCCTTGCTGTTTGGATGAGCTTATAGGTGGGAATAGTGGCTCCGGTCTTCTCCTGCTCCCTCCACAAATGCAGCTACTTAAGATTTGAAAGTGGTAATTTCAAGGCATCTCTGTCCATTAAAGCTCAGACAAATTACTTTTTCGGACTATAAAGCTTCTAGAACCCTTCATCCTGCATGCCTATTTCACAGAAGATTCCCCAGACTCTGGTGGGAGTATGATCATGGAACTGGGTGGATTACATGGGTTGAAATGTGAGGTGCAAACATTAAAAAAGAAAAGGTAGCAAGCAAAATTCAGAGCAAATCTGGAGGAAAGATTCCATCATGGCAGAGGGCAGTGGTAACCCGGCCACCTATGTTCCAAAATGTACCAAAATGAAACTTGTTGCACCTAATCGTTTTTTGCTCTTGTTCTCAGTGCCAAAATTATCAACCAAGCCAAATGGGCTGAAGTGTCCTGGATGCTTCTCGGTGCATGCCAAATGCCAACCCACCGACACGTTAAACTGCCATGGTTCAGAAAGCAAATGTGTATATTATGATATGACTGTGGAACAGGGTAAGACCGAAGTTCTGCAAGAAGTAGAGAAAATAGATACCGCTATTTGCCACATAATACAAAAAACAGAGCTTGCAAATAACTAGTTACACATAGTGTAGTTGCATCTTAAGTAGTTACCTTTGGACATCAAGTCATGTAATCAGTAGTTACAAAGTTATTATGTGTGACAAGTGATACACGTTTACTCCAGAAGCTATTTTGAAAGGCATTTAGAGATATTTTGAGATCAATTTCAGAGATATTTTAGCTGGAATTATTTTAGTAAGCCGAAGTGACAAAGGAAATCTTCGTTGGTATTTCTAAATTTTCCAAGATGCAGTATCAGAACCGACCACTAGAGGGATCCACAGAGGATCTATTTTTCGGCACTCTTGTTTAGGACAATACAATGGGGTAATAATGTAAAATACAATGAATTATTTTATAGTTGGAGGATTGATAGTGATAACAGCAACATGTCTACTAAGGAGTAAGGAAGGAGTAACACAATGAATTATTTTAAAAGTGTAGCATTCCAAGCTCTGACTAGTACTCAGGTTATCCAGTGAAGCTGAACAGATGGAAATTCAGAATAGATAAAGGAAGCACTTTCCCCCTCATTTTTTAGTTACAGTATGTAAAATATTAGATATTTATACTGGGCCTTCACTTGATTTTGACTAATTAAGGTCACTTAGATTGGTCCTTAGGCTGCACTGTGCCCCTTTGTAGACACTTTATCCAGAACTTTCTTGGTATGTTTGCAGTTCCAGATATTCAGGGGAGGAAAAAAGCCCTCCTTAGAAATTAGGAAATGCAAATGCACTGAACCCCATTGCATGGTGGTTAAACTGCATTATTGCAGCCAGGACTTTGCTCGTGGCCTGAATTCAATCCCAATGGGCTTAGGCTTGAGGTTGACTCAGCCTTCCGTCCTTCAGAGGTCAGTAAAAGGAGTACCCAGCTCACCAGGAGCCAAGATGTTGTTTGCATCATTATGTTGTGCACTGTCCAGAGAGTGCTCCGCCACAGTGGTTCTTAACCTTGGGTAACCCAGGTGTTCTTGGACTGCAAATCCCAGGAGCCCCAACCAGCATAGCTGGTGGTGAAGGCTTCTGGGAATTGCAGTCCAAGAACACCTGGGTTACCCAAGGTTAAGAACCACGGCTCTAGCACAATTGGGTAGTATACTGTATAAGTCGAAACAACAACAAATGGCAAGATCAAGTTGTGCTGTAACTGCACCAGGTCCCAGAATTTAAGAGCCCCCAAGGCAGAACAGAAGAGCTTCTGGCCAGGGTGACTGCAGTCTGCAGGGCTGAATGTTTCTGCTTTGATCCCATGCTTTGGTCCCACCAGTGTGCAGCGGTGCCTCTCTAGACAGTTGCCCCGCATGACAGTTTTTTCGCTAGACATTGACTTTTTGCTATCGCTAGAGGGATTCGCAAAACAGTGATCCCTATGGGGGAATTTCACTGGACAGTGTTTGGTCCCTGCTTTGCAAACCGATTTTCGCTAGACAACGATTTTGACAGCTCCCTCCGCGTTCGCAAAACAGGTGTTTTGGGGACCTAAGCTTCACAAGACAGTGATTTAAACAGCTGATCGGCATTTCGCAAAGCGGCTTTCCTATGGCCGATCTTCGCTAGACAACAACAATTCTTCCCCATTGGAACGCATTAAACCGGTTTCAATGCATTCCAATAGGGAAATGCTTTTCGCTAGACAATGATTTCGCTTAACAGCGATTTCAGTGGAATGGATTATCATCGTCTAGCGAGGCACCACTGTATCCAGGCACCAGCAGCTGACCACAGGGACGGGAGTAGTGTGATGTCGTGCTTCAAGTGTTGGACTGCGATTTGGGAGAATCAGGTTCTAGACCACACTAGAGCCACAGAACCCACTATGCAGCCCAGTCCTTCTCTCTCTCTCTTGCACACACACACATCCTGGCTTCATAGAGAACTGCTTTTTCATCTTGTTTCCAATGAAGGTGCAAGGAGAAATGGCTGGTGCAAAGGATAAGAGATTGAAGAACAAGACCAAGTGAGAACTGCTGGAATAGCTCGGTGTCTTAGGCATCTGTCTGGAGAGCCAGAGGTTGGGAGTTCGATTCCCCACTGTGCCTCCTTGACAGAGACTGTTCTCAATGATCTATAGGGTCCCTTCCAGCTCTGCATGATGAGGATGAGGATGATTGCACTTGCAAGTTGGGAATAAAAAGCTAACTGATACATAAACTGGTAAATATTTCAGTTGCTGAGCGAGGCGAGAGGATCTCAGGAGCTGACTCCCTTTTTCCCCCTCCCAATTCCTGCAGGTGACCAAATATACACTTTTGCTAAACGTGGCTGCGCAACCAAGGCGGTCTGTAAGAACACACACCAGATGTATGGGGTGCCTGGACTGTTTATCGAAATTTGGAAGACTGCCAAATGCTACGCAGCTCCTAAGAGATGAACTGAACCAGCGAGGAGCAAGTCCTTTGGAAAACCCGCCACTCTAGAAGAATTCCCCTTTTCTAGAACTCTTTCTCAAATTTTTTTAAAAATTATACGTTTATTTATATATAGACACAACTATTACTTTTACCTGGCAATTTTCATTTCCATTGATTTTTAGTAAAGGAGAATTTGACCCTTCTTTCTTTCTTTCTTTCTTTCTTTCTTTCTTTCTTTCTTTCTTTCTTTCTTTCTTTCTTTCTTTCTTTCTTTCTTTCTTTCTTTCTTTCTTTCTTTGAACGAATAAAATCATGTCGCTCAAAGGACTCTCATTTCTTTAAAACATGCTGGAATTTCCCCAATCCCTGAGTGTTTCTATTAATCTTTAACCTTCAGCTTGCATTTTGGAATTCACTGCAGATCATCCATCACACCATACCTTTTAAAGCTTTAAATGAGGTCATGTCCCTCGCCAGCCTTTTTTATTTTCAGCCATGAACGTACCATTGAACAAAAGCACTCTATGGTCAGGTAATGCAATCCCCATTTAAAGATGCACTAATTGTGTGATTTTTTAAATTTTATTTTTATTTATTTAACTTATATGCCGCCCCCCACTACCCAAAGGTCTCTGGGCAGCTTACAACAATGTAAATACAATAAAAAGATAAAACAATTAACATACCATTAAAAATTCAGTACTCTAAAGTTCAGAACAGACAGAAGCCTCTTCTGTTGGCAGAAATCAGCTTACACTGGAAGAAATGCCATATGCCCAACCAACCTACTGCAGTCAATTTCTTATAGGTACCTTTCCATCTGATTGTGGGCAGCAGATTAGGGAGTTCAGTGAAAACCACACAGCCAACCAACCAGCCTCCCAACGACCAGCTGACCAACCCAGTCAACCAATACAAGTAGAACCAATGGATCTGAAGTAGAAATGGGCACTTAATTGATGTTTGGCAGTTCGGCACAGTTCAGAGGATCAGACCCACAGGTGTTGCATGAGCACCCTGGATTCTGTGCCCTTCAGAAGAAGAAGAGGCAAGTCAAGGGTGCCCATGAGGCTGCTTTTGACTGGCCATCTGGAAAGGAGAAGGAGTGCAGAATCCGGGGTGCCCGTCCAACACCTGTGGGCTCAATCCTCCAAACTGCACCGAACTACCAAACTGTGAGAAGTGCCCATTTCTGCTCTGAAGTTTGCCCAACGGTAGTATAATAGCCATATGACACGTTCTTCTTCCGACTCTCGTTTTCAGCTATTTTTTTCCCCTGTTCCATCATGCGAATATTCTTGACAATGTTGACCTTGGCCTTTACACACTTGCAGGAAGGTTTCTGCTCATTTTCAATTTTTATTTCCTGCAATTCAAATCCTGCACATCAATGGCCAAATCTTGTACAGGAACTGCTAGATCCTGCACAGGAATAGTCAATTCTTTCACATGATAGGCATTCCCAATTTCTCTATACCGTCATTTTCTGAGATTTTTCTGGAGGTCAGTGAGAATTAGGGGACGTGGTGGCGCTGCGGGCTAAACCGCAGAAGCCTGTGCTGCAGGGTCAGAAGACCAGCATTGATAAGATCGAATCCACGCAACGGAGTGAGCTCCCGTCACTTTGTCCCTGCTCCTCGCCAACCTAGCAGTTCGAAAGCATGTACATGCAAGTAGATAAATAGGTACCACCTCGGTGGGAAGGTAAAACGACGTTCCTTTGTCGGGGGCTGGCCACGTGACAACGGAAACTGTCTTCGGACAAGCGCTGGCTCTATGACTTGAAAAACGGGATGAGCACCGCCCCCTAGAGTCGGACACGACTGGACTAAAAAAGTCAAGGGGAACCTTTACCTTTACCTTTACAGTGAGAATTACCGTGAGATTTTTTTTTCCTCTGGGGTGATCTGGCTAAATTGAAATCTGAAATAAAAAACAGGGTTTTCTACCTGCTCTGCTTCTTGGACTGAAGAAGAAATTGTGAGATCTTGCACATGAATCTCACAATCAGGAATGCAAGGACTTTATTAGGAATACAAGTCCTTGCATTCTGAGAAATCCCATTGAAAACATTGAGTGACCAACCTGGAAAAAAAACACAAATTTCATTTATCTGTAAATGCATCATTAGCTAAATAGTAATTCCAACTAAGAAAATCATAGTGTGACTATGTAACTGCTATTGTCTTGTGTGGTGCAGTGGACAGAATAATGGACCAGACTTAAGAGACTTGGGATCCCTGCTCAGCTACAGAAACTCGCTTGGAGTTTGGAAATGGTAAAGCCGCTCCTTAAATATCTCACTTACCTTGAAAACCCCATTAGGGTTGCTATAAGTCGATTCGGACTTGACCGCACAGAACAATAACAACATTCTATTGTGTAGCCGGTCAACCTTTAACAGGGAAATCCATGTATGACTACTTAAAAGTAAGTCACAAAGTATTCAAGATTTACGCCAGGTCAATGGGTGTAAAGACTGCTGCTTTGGTGTCCTATTCATTTTGACCAGTAGACACAGTGAAACAACTGAACCAGATATTCTTTGAAACCCCAGTTCTAGCTTGTCCATTGGCCTAAGTCCCAGGGGCCTCAAAAGGCACATTCAACTCCTTTGGCATGTCGTTATGGCCTCCAAACCCAGGACAGGTTTTGAGTCTGCCCAGTGATTAATCCTCTTTGGAACCTGATGGACCAGGATCTGGGTCACACACCTTATCCTTCTTGCTTAGCCCTCCCTCATAAACGTTGCAGGCCAGAAGATATAAATCCCATCAGATCAGATCAAGCTTGCCACCTCTTGCTCAACCGCCTCTTCAGTTCCAAGCTTACGCTTCTTTGCATGTTCGCAAGACCATGCAGGCGTTTCTCATCTACTTTTTCTCCCTCCTGTTGGCCACAGGTAAGTCCATAGTGTTCAGCTCTTAGTACCTCATCCCCAGAAGGAACTTTAAGGCTTACAAAACATGGTGTTTCTTACTTAAAGCTGATCTGGGTCATATCTTGATGGCATAATTTAGCAGTGTGGTGCTCTTGCACATCAAGGTAAAAATAGCATGAAGTAGACCCTTCACCTCTTTTCATAGCAGACAATGGAGAGCTAGTGCTGAAGGCCTTCAATTTAAGGAGAATGATAATTCTGCAAACCTATGTGGGGGATTGGCCTCAGTGACTTGCATAGTTTCTATCAAGTCCAGGCTAAAACATGCACAAATGTTATCTGTGTATTTTCTTTTGTGTCCTTTCCTTTTGACAAGCAAAGCACAAATTCTCAGCAGGCACAGAAGGAAGGTGTAATTGTTAAAAAAAATGCAAGCAACCTATCGTCTGCTTAAAATTCTCAGATGTCCATGAAACAGAGGAGCAATTGTCATAGTTTTGCACATTTTGCATGATTTGGGTGATTTGCACTAAAATTGTGCTTGCACACATATTCTCATGCAACTGATTGAAAATAAGGAATACTATTGAGTAGTGTGGGCTGTGCTGTGATGGGGAGGGCAAGACCCCCTTACATCAGGATGTTGGACCTTCCTTGAATGGAACCCTTCTGCTAGCCCTGGTATGAGCAGTCCTAGTCAGCATAGCCAGCAGAGATGGATGATGAGAACTGTTCTCTAACAATATCTAGAACAGTGGTTCTAAACCTTAGCTAACCCAGATGTTCTTGCACTGCATCTTCCAGAAGCCTTTACCACTAGCTGTGCTGGTCAGGATTTCTGGGAGTTGGAGTCTGAGAACACCGGGGTGACCCCAGTTTGGGAACCACTGATCTAGAGATATAGCTGGCCAATGGTCTGACCACTGTTTCCTCGGCGTGGACCACAAGCTGCATCTGTCTGGAGGACACTGTTAATTCCTGCACCAACAGAAGGCAGATCCAGGACCTAAAACCTCTTTGTATATGCAATGTGGCTGGAGGATTAAAAAAAAACCCAACTAGAAGCTTGCTGTACATTCATATCAAAGCTCTGTGTAATTGGAGTTCCCTCCTCTGGTAATATGTGCCACAAAACCCAGATGTTTCAGAACATGTTCTTTATGGAGGAGATACCTGTTGTCACGTGGTGGTAGTGGTGGTAGGAGAAGATGAGGGAGGCAGCTGGGGCCCTCAACCCTGGTGGCTTTGGTTCTTCCAATGAATTGGAGAACCAGACATCCTTAGGTGGACACAGCCTGAATATATCCTACACTGCAGGATGCTGATGAATTGGTATCCCACAAAATGATGCTTTCCCTGGACCTTTTGTTTTTCCCACTGCTCAAATTAGCATCATATTTGCCTACAACCACTTGCTCACCCATCTCTCCTGATAGACACCTGGATTCCTTTCTTTCTTTTCTTGCTTGCTCACCACTTGAAAACGCAATTGTTGTCGCAGCCCTCCATGACATTGGAGCATTGGTGGGTGCTTAATTCTAGAAGAGCTTCCATAAGGAAGTAATGGGTGGTGGGAGAGAGTGAATAAATAAACCAAGCAAAAGAGGCAGGCGGAGAAACAGAGCCTGAATTACTCCAGATGCTTCGCCCTCTTCTACTGCTTCCCCTTTCCAGGTGTTTGTCTGCAGTGTGAACAATGCAGCAGCAACACCGATGGGTGCACGGGAGTCCCACAACTCTGTGGAAAATATGAGAACGCCTGCATGATCCTCACCACAGAGATCACCATCGGTAGGTAACGTTGCCATCTTTTGGTGTGTGTGTCTTTCTCTCTCTGTGTGTTTGCTTCCTTCTTTCAAATCATCCCTTTCCAGGTGTTTGTCTGCAGTGTGAACAATGCAGCAGCAACACCGATGGGTGCACGGGAGTCCCACAACTCTGTGGAAAATATGAGAACGCCTGCATGATCCTCACCACAGAGATCACCATCGGTAGGTAACGTTGCCATCTTTTGGTGTGTGTGTCTTTCTCTCTCTGTGTGTTTGCTTCCTTCTTTCAAATCATAGTTTTCATTATTATGGTATGGCTTTGGACGTTGCCATCTTTTGGTGTGTGTGTGTCTTTCTCTCTGTGTGTGTTTGCTTCCTTCTTTCAAATCATAGTTTTCCATTATTATGGCTTTATTGTGTTTCTTTTGCTCCTTGCTCTGGATCCTTGTTTTTCTAAAGTGGGGTATAGATTTGAAAAAATAAGTAGAGTGGTGCCTCACTAGATGATGATAATAGTTTTCCATTATTATGGCTTTATTGTG